ATCTTTCTTCTATCATTGACAGTCCCTCTAGGTTGTGGGCTGCTTGCCTGTGTTCCTGAGAAGCATCTACGGTACCAGTCTATAGAGTGTGTTTTCTTTAGTGAATTACCGGTATGTTTACCGGTAATAAACTTGCACTGTTTTATGTATATGTTTGATTACATACAGCCTTGTGACAGTTTTCCTGCATGTCATAAGCATTTGAATATAAATTAAAATGTTAAAATCAAATCTGATATTGTTTTACCTTTTATTTGGTGTGTGGAAGGTGTGCGGAAGAGGGGGTAGTCTTATACGGCGAGTATATAACAAACTCTGTATTTTGAGTGGAAATGTTAGGGGGTCGTCTTATACGCCCAGTCATCTTATACGCCGGCAAATACGGTATATAGAACCTGGTGTAATTACAATACTTAAATGGTTTAGTTAGACTTTTTAAAAGCTGATTACTGAAGATGCTATAATACATTAAGAATCCTAAAATACAAAGTTTTGTTGGCAAATCTGCATGTCCCCCTGGGCTCTTAAATAAATATAACCAAATCTTTATGAAAGAGACATTCCTTAGCAAATTAAAGCTGGAAATGTGTTAAGCTTTTGAAAATAGACCTTTTTGTGTCACACGTCTTTGATCTTGTTTGCTATTTTTATTTGAAGAAAATAAAATGGGGTGGGTTGTTCTTTAAAACCAAAGATACCAAAAAAGCAAAAACGGACGACCAAGTGGAGCCAGAGGAAGGTGCCCAGGCCCCTGAAGAAACCGAAACCAGTGTGGGGAAGCCAGGCAATGGGGAAGAGGAGAGCGAGGTGCCCAGCCTGCCCCTGGGACTGACAGGTAACCCGGCACGGACCCCAGATCTTTAAAATGCCGCGCCGCTCCCGATTATAAGATGTGAAGGAAGTTGTTACTTGTGCCTGGAAGAAGTAAATATTGACAGGAAATGGTTAATATCTTAAGTGCAGCTTTTATCTTTAGTTTTTGTTCTTTCTCTGGTCTTTCCTTTATTCCTGACAGTATTTTAAGAATGCACACCAACAGCTTCTGGGGTCCTTTGTTCCTTTGGTTTATCATTTTCCAAAGCTCATTCCATGCTGTAGGGGGAACATCATTGGCCCAGAGTCTGGAGACCAGCGGTTTAATACTGGCTTAGTAAGAAGGAAGGGGGAGGCAGGAATTAACATCGAAGAACTTGTGCCAAGTTAACCCCTTTGGCCCTTGTTTCTTTATCTATAAAGTCAAGAGTTTAGACTAGAATTAGTTGCTCTTAACCAAAAATGTCTAGGAGTCGCTTGAGTTGTTTGGTTTGGATTTTCTGTTAAAATACTGAGGGCCAGCCCCAGACCTGCCTGATCCGAATTGCAAAGATGGCAGCATTCTCATCCAGGGCAATTTTGTCTCCCAGGCGGGGTGACCAGCTCATCCTGGTTTGCCCAGAACATGACCAGTTTTAGCTTTGAAAGTCCAGCATCTCATAAACCTCCTCTCTCCCAGGGAAATCATGAGGGTTGGCCACCAACATTTCTGTCAGAACTGGGGCAGGCTACTGGCATCCCCTGGGTAGAGGTCAAGGATCTGCAGAACATCCTGTGTATAAAGGACAGCCTCTCGCAACAGAGCTCTCCAGCCCAAGGTGTCGGTTAGCCAGGCTGTGAGGAGTAGGGACTCCGCGTGGGAGGTCGCGGAGGCGAGGGCATTGGTGCTCCCTGCTGAGGAATGCACACCTGATACCGAGATCCAGTCCAACGGTCCGCCCGTATCTGACTCGGTTGTCTTTTGGGGGTGAGATTAACTTCACTCTTGGCTTTTATTATCCTCATTGTTTTCACTTTTTATTTCAGATTTCTTAAACATTTTATTTCTCTGCACTGCTGTCCCCAACCCCACCTTTGACATTTTAATTTCCTGCAAATCCCTTGGTTGTACTTCCTCTCTCCCTTACTCTTTTGTTACGTTAGGGGCTCTGGACATGGGCTTTAAATTGAGCAGCCATCAGCAGAGGGGACATTTTTAAAAGTGTAGGGTCTTTTTCTTAATATTACATGGGAATGGTTGGGATTTTGTCTTAGTGGAAGAAGCTCTAGTAAGTTTGACTGCAACCAATAATGCTTTCAATCAGCAAAACTAATTTAGACAATCTAGCTGAATTAGCCACTAAAAATGATAAATTTACTAATGATAAACTCTTCCGTTTAGGGGCTTTCGAGGACACTTCATTTGCTTCTCTCTCTAATCTTGTCAATGAGAATACTCTGCGGGCAATAAAAGAAATGGGCTTTACAAACATGACCGAAATCCAGCATAAAAGTGTCAGACCACTTCTGGAAGGCAGGTATGATTAACATGGACGCTTGGCCATTGGTATCTGTTTGTAGTGCTAGTTGTTTGCCCAGGAAAGTTTATGCCCAGGAACTACCAGTGTGTTCTTTGATGTGTATTGTGTTGGTTTACATATCCAACCTGCATTAAAGGCTTTAAATTACGTCCTGGTGTTGGAAGAAAAGTGTTCACTTCTGTTTCCTGGCATGATTCTTACTTCTGAGTTAGGTGCTTTACTCAGATGGTTGAATTCAGTGATAGAGAAGGTGGGAACTTGTCTTTCTCGATCCTGTTCTAGCCTTGAAGCCTAAAACACCTGTGATTGTGCGTGCTGGCTGCTGAGTAAGTACTTGGTGAATGAGTATACTGAGTGTCTCTCCTCCTTTCCCTTTTTAACATTAGGGATCTTCTGGCAGCTGCAAAAACTGGCAGTGGCAAAACCCTGGCCTTCCTCATCCCTGCAGTTGAACTCATTGTTAAGTTAAAGTTTATGTCCAGGAATGGAACAGGAGTTCTTATTCTCTCCCCTACTAGGGAACTGGCCATGCAGACTTTCGGTGTTCTTAAAGAGCTGATGACACGCCACGTTCATACATACGGGCATGCAGGTGAGAGAACACTGTGTAGTACTGTCTCATGTCTTGTGTCAGACAAACTTTACAACTAACAGTGTTTCTTTGTCTTGTTAGAATACTCCAGGGTTTATGTATAAAAACCTGCAGTGTCTGGTTATTGATGAGGCTGATCGTATCTTGGATGTTGGGTTTGAAGAGGAGTTAAAGCAGATTATTAAACTTCTGCCAAGTAAGTGGGTAGTATCTGTATGTAGTCTGCAAAGTGGTTGTTAGAAGCAGTGAGAGTTGTTTCTATATCAAAACTATTAATACCAGAATTTTAACACATTGCGGACGGATCACGAGAATTCTCGCTTCATATTACGCAGTGTTTTACCAAGTATCAGACTTTAAAAAGATATTGGCTTGTAAGAACATGTAATACATAACTTCAAAATGCAATGGGTATTTAATTTGAAAGCGTGCCTTTAACATTCATGTAAAACGTTTTTTGTACTCGTTCAATAGAAACTTAATCTGGCCACTGGGTAAAGCCAGCAATAAAACTGCTGGTCCCACCTTGGCTGGTTTGGCTCGGTGGTTAGAGTGTCAGCCTGCGGACGGGGGGTCCTGGGTTCGATTCCAGTCAAGGGTACATGCCCAGGTTGCAGGCTCGATCCCCAGTGGGGGGCATCCAGGAGGCAGCTGATCAGTGATTCTCTCACATCATTGATGTTTCTATCTCTCCCTCTCGCTTCCTTCCTGAAAGCAAAAATATATTTAAAAAAAAAGAAACTACTGGTCCACAATGTATTAATATAGCCAAGTGAAGTCGCTATGCCAATTAACCTTAGAGGCAGTTTGCAATATAAACATCAAACGTATTAGTAACTTAATACAGTGGTTTTGCCAAGTTAGAGGTTTAATGCAAGTTAAACAGTCCAAACATATGTCTCATTCCCACCCACCTCCCCCCACCCCTATTACCTTCACCTGGCACCTCCCAGACAGCTGTAGACTTGTAGCCTCCTGTGTGATGTTTCAGTTGTACATAGCTTGGTTATAGTACTTGTAACATTATAAACTGCTTACATCTGTAATAAGGCCATGATTCCATTCATTATACAATTTGTTTTTTAATGTTTTACTGGGATGTAATTGACATGATCTGTACATATTTTAAATACTCAGTTTGCTAAATGTTCACATTCCACCCATGAAACCATTATCACATCAATATAGTAAACATCTCCATAACCCCCTAAAGTGCGTTCATGCACCTTTGTACTCCCTCCCAGCCTCTGTAGGAGCAACCCTCACCTACTACCAACTACCAACAGCTGCTCACACACCTCTCTCTCCCATGCAGCTGTTGATCTGCTTTCTGTCACTGTAGATGTGTTTGTATTTTCTAGAGATTTATGAAGTTGCTACAAACATTCATCTACAACTTTTTTATGGGCACATATTTTCTTTCTCTTGGGTAACTACTGAGGAGTGGAGTAACTAGTTATTTAACTTGTACAATTTTTCATATCCTTCAGCAGCATACAGAAGTTCCAGTTCTACCTATTAAGTCTTAGGATGAACTTCAAACAGTTCTTTTCAAAATTGTTCTGGCTGTTCCCCTTTGCATTTCTGTATAAATATTAGAAGCAGTTTGTCAGTTTCTACTCCCTAAAAATACCTGGTTGGTTGGGATTTTATTGAATACCAGAGGCCCAGTGCACAAAATTCATGCATAGGTAGGGTCCCTAACAGCTGCTGACCGGGGCCTCTCTTCCCCTGGCCGCCTGCTGCCCCTGCCATGTTCCGCGCCGCCCCCAGTGGTCAGTGCACATCTAACTCCCGGTTGGTCAGACTCCTGCCTGTGGGGACAGTCTATATATTAGCCTTTTATTACATAGGATAGAGCATTGGTGAAAGGCAATATTGAGTCAGTTCAACCTATGAATAAGGTATATCTCCATTTATTAGCTCCTTAATTTCTAAGTACTTCATTAAAATTTCTATTTCGAATTGTTTATTGTATGTACAGATACGGTTGATTTTTGTATATCCATTTTATGTCTGGCAAGTAATTATTTCTATGTTCATCTGGACTGTTCAGCATGAACCTTCAGATGAAATGAGCCTGGATTTTCCTCATGGGCAGACATGTCAGCTACAAATAAAAAAAGTAAATTCTTCACTTAATATTTTTCTTGCCTGATTGCACTGGCGAGAACCTCAGGTACAACACAGAATAGAAGTAGTGAGACGAGATCTTTGTCTTGTTCCTGAGGTTAGTGGGGAAAGCATTCAGTCTCACCATGAAGTATGTTAGCTGTAGGTTTTTGTAAATGCCCCTTATCAGATTGTGGATGACCCCTTTTGTTCCTCGTTTGTTTAGATTTTTTAAACTCAGAAATAGATGGTAAATTCTGTCAAAAGCTTTTTCTGTATCTGCTGAAATGATCAGATTTTCTCCTTTACTCTGTTAATATGGTATATTGTGTTGGTTAATTTCCCAATGTTAAAGCAACCAGCTCTGCATTCACGGAATAAACCCTATTTAGCCATGCCTTATCCTTTTTCATATATTGCTGGATTCACTTTACTAAAGTTTTGTTTAGAAATTTTGCATTTCTGCTCATGAATCGTTGGGTTTGGATGTTGGGGTAATGGCTGGCTCCAAGGAATAAGCTGGGAAGTAAATTCCCTAGTGCCCTGGAGAGTGAGTGAAGAATCAGTAATATTTCTTCCATAAAAGTCTGCTAGAACTCACCACTGGAGGCGTTAGGGCTGTAGTTTTCTTTACATGAAGATTTTTTTTTTTAAATATATATATTTTTTATTGATACTTTACAGAGAGGAAGGGAAAGGATAGAGAGCTAGAAAACATCGATGAGAGAGAAACATCCATCAGCTGCCCCCTGCGCACCTCCCACTGGGGATGTGCCCGCAACCAAGGTCCATACATGAAGATTTTAAGTATAGTTTTTTTTTAATAGGTACAGGCTAGTCACGTTTTCTATTTCTTCTTAAGTGAGCTTTAGCAGTTTGTCTTTCAATCAAGGAAATTGTCCATTTCATCTAAGTTGTCAAGTTTATGAACATAAAGTTGTTTGTGATATTCCCTCAATCTCTGTAGTGTTACCGCATCTCCCATTCCTGATAGTCCTGCTTAGGAGCATTTGTAGTTGTGAGGCAGTTCTGTGGATCCCCTGAAAGGTTCGGATTACTCTTACGTGTATGTGTTTCAGCACGCAGGCAGACCATGCTCTTTTCTGCCACACAAACTCGCAGAGTTGAGGACCTGGCGAGGATTTCTCTGAAAAAGGAGCCATTGTATGTTAGTGTCGATGATGATAAAACTAATGCAACAGTGGATGGTCTTGAGCAGGTATTATTGTCAATACCTTACATGTTAATGAATGTGGGTACGTGTGTTTCCTTGTAATTGTTTGGAGTATCCTCCAGAAAGCTGTGGGTTCTTGAACTTTTAATTCAAATATAGTGAACTTGGGTATTGGATTGCTGGCTCTTCTAGCATAACGTAACTTGAACTCTAAATAATTTAATTAGCTCTCTTTACTGTCTCTTGTATTAAGAGACTAACCACTTAGGAAGCATCATTAACCACTATTTTAAAATGTTTAGGGATCTTGCTCTGAGTTAGAAGGTGGAGAGACTGGTTTCAGGCATGTAGCTGTGGAAAACTAGAAATGAGGTGACAGAGATCTAAACTAGGTTGATTAAAAATAGGACTTGAAGCCCTAGCCAGTTTGGCTCAGTGGATAGAGTTTCAGGCTATGGACTAAATGGTCCCAGATTCGATTCTGGTCAAGGGCACATGTCCAGTTTGGGGGCTCAATCCCCAGTAGGGGGCGTGCAGGAGGCAGCTGATCAATGATTCTCGTCATTGATGTTTCTCTCTCCCTCTCCCTTCCTCTAGGAAATCAATAAAAAAATATTTTAAAAAATTGGACTTGAAGATCGAGTCTTTGGTGAATAAAATATTTTCTGTAACAATTCAGCTTAAAACCTTTCGTTGGTGTTTTGTTATTTTTTAAATATATTCACCCATCTTTGTGCTCTTGTTTTGGACTATGTATATAAGCTGTGATTATTTGAGATGTTGCTATTAAAGAGTTTTCAAAAATGAATCATTGATATATCTTGAGAGTTCCAGTTAGTTGAGATATTAATATATTATGGTTGCAAGAACTGTTGATAACCAGTAATCTCAGAAATAATGAAAAGAATTCAGTGTCCAATGGTTACAGCCTGTTAAAGGAATCTAAAGAGCTTAAATTTGTCTTATTGTAGGGATGCTGTGTTATGATGGCAGGAATTTTACTGCAGGGAAAGCACAACAGTGTGGGCAGTGTCTCTTCATCATATTGGCTCATGGAGCTGCAAATGTCCGCTTGGTTACTTTGTGTCTGTTCATTTGAACTACTTCTAGGGATATGTTGTTTGTCCTTCCGAGAAAAGATTCCTCCTGCTCTTCACATTCCTTAAGAAGAACCGGAAGAAGAAACTCATGGTCTTCTTCTCATCTTGTATGTCTGTGAAATACCACTATGAGTTGCTGAACTACATCGATTTGCCTGTCTTGGCCATTCATGTGAGTGATGATGAGAAGTTCATTAAAATCAGGTTGTGCTGCCCTAGCCAGTTTGGCTCAGAGCGTCAGCCTGGGGACCGAAGGGTCCCAGGTTCAATTCCAGTCAAGAGCACGTACCTCGGTTGCAGGCTCCTCCCCAGCCAGGCCTTAGTCGGGGTTAGTGCAGGAGACAACCAGTCGATGTGTTCCTCTCACATTGATGTTTCTCTCTGTCTTTCCCTCTGTCTTCCACTCTCTCTAAAAATTAGTGGGAAAATATCCTTGGTTGAGGATTAACAACCAAAAGAAAAACAGGTTGTGCTTATCAAGGTGTATAAAGTGTGGGGTTTGAGGTCTGACTCCCCAGGTCAGCAACATTGGTGAGTGGTCCTCTATGGAGGGGGCTTGGCTGGGTTTTGAGGAATGAGAACCACAAGGAATAAGAGACACCATCCACTTGGAAAACAGGACACAGGCCAGGGAGTGAACTTGAAGTAAAGCAGGTTCACAGCTCCAGTTTGGGGTTCTACATCTGGACCTCCCAGCAGCTTCCTGTTTCCAGCTCTAACGGATGTTTGTATTCGATTCTAGGGAAGGCAGAAGCAAAATAAACGTACAACCACATTCTTCCAGTTCTGCAACGCGGATACAGGCATATTGTTGTGCACGGACGTGGCAGCCAGAGGGCTGGACATTCCTGAAGTCGACTGGATTGTTCAGTATGACCCTCCAGATGACCCCAAGGTAAGTGGCATCCTCGGGTGTCTCAGGATGGCAGTACGCAGGTGAGATTACTACCTATATACTCCTATAAAATAAAAGGGTAATATGCAAATTGACCCTAATGGCAGAACGACTAGTCTCTATGATGTGCACTGACCACCAGGGGTCAGTGCACTCCCACTGGGGAGCTCCGCTCAGCCACAAGCCAGGCTAATGACTGCGAGTGCAGCGGTGGTGGCAGGAACCTCTCCCGCCTCCTTGGCAGTGTTAAGAATGTCCAACTGCAGCTTATTCCCGCTCCCTGTGGGGAACAGTCCTAAGCTGACAGTCGGACATCACCCAAGGGCTCCCAGGCTGCCAGAGGGATGTCTGACTGCCAGCTTAGACCTGCTCCCCCCCACCCCCTGAGGAGCAGGCCTAAGCTGGCAGGTGGACATCCCCTAAGGGATCCCGGACTGCAAGAGGGCACAGGCCAGGCTGAGGGACACCCCCACACACACACACCCCAGTACACGAATTTTCATGCACTGGGCCTCTAGTAGATTATGTAAATTGTCAACTGGCATTTAATAATGTTTCAAAAAGCCATTTTGAGGATGAGGCACACTTACTGGTCATTTTACTAGACCGTAGAGCTCATGTGAATTTCATATCCAGCTTTCCTTTGGCCTCGGTCATCGTCCTATAACCTCTTTGGGGATAGGGCATGCAAAAGGAATTGACGGGGAGGGGCACCCCCTCATAAAGAATGCTGACCTGCCCACCACCACTAGTCCCGGGAATGCAGGCTGTCACGGGTGCCTGTCAGGCTGTGTGAACTCAGATGTTCTCTCTCTACCAAAGGAATACATTCATCGAGTGGGAAGAACTGCCAGGGGCCTAAACGGAAGGGGGCATGCCTTGCTCATTTTGCGTCCTGAAGAATTGGGTTTCCTTCGTTACCTGAAGCAATCCAAGGTAAAGGTCTTTGCTTGGGAGTCTTAAGTTGGAACAGATCCTCTTTGTGGAATTGTTGGCCAGTGCAGGTGGCCTCGAAGTGTCGAGGAGTCATGACTCATTGCAGTGCTCCTGGAACAGTTGTTACAGATGTGGAACAGATGTGGTTTTGGGGGGGCTGGCCCAGGAAATGTGAACTGAAAGGACTACCCCTGTGGCTTAATCTTGAGTTCCGTGTTGTCAGCCTGTGTCCCTCGCCTCCTCCCAGTCCTGCGGCCTGTTTGAAACCACCTCCCCTCCTGTTAAACCCCTCACACCTGACCGTCGCTGCCTCCTGCTCCCCTCCCCGCAGTCTTCTCTGCATCTTTTTCTCGGGCATCTTTCCTGCTTACCTCCCCAAAGCAGTGGGGCCCTCATTCACTCCTGCCCCTTCCTCCTCCTCTCGCTCCTACTCCTTTTGTCCCTCATTCATCAGCTGGTTTGTCTTCAGTCTCTCCCTTGCAGTCAGCTCTTTACCAGCTCAAGTCATTCACTAAGAAAAATAACTTCAGCCCGAAACCCACTGTCCCAGCACCCCTCCAGCCTGGCTACTGCCTGTTGCCTTTCTTCTGTCTGCATTTTGAATCGTGATTTATATTTTCTCCATTTTTCCACTCACCCTGTGTCCAGTGCATCCACCAAACCTGAATTCATTGTAACTGTGAGTGGCCTCCGTTGCTGGGTGTGGTGGATGCTCACCAGGCTTGCTCGTCCTTGCATTTGCCTCCTTGTCAGCTCCCTGCAGTCTTGCCAGGTGAATTTTCCTCATTCCACAACTCCGCGCAGCTTTCCAGAATTGCCACTAGACTTGGCACTTTCTCTCTGGAATGCCCTTTCCTGGTTCTCTAGACTGCCTCTGGCTTCAGCTAGCTGTGTCTGTTCTGGGAAGCCAGCCCTGACCTCCATGTCCCCACAGCTGTGCTGGCAGCTGCGTCCTCCCAGCACCCAGCACAGGTCTGGCCCTCTTCCACTTACCTAGTCAGTGACGGCTACTAAGAGGGCCTTCCCTGGGAGCTTGTGGTCGTCGTGACCCGGTGTCCCACACTCAGTCAGAGGGCGGGTGGCGATGGGGCCGCTCTGGCATGGAGAGCTAGGGGTCCTCTGCCTAGAGCTCCACGCCTTTCCATAGGGAGCCTGTTTAGAGAGAGGGCTTCCTTGACGCATGCCTGTAAAATTCCTCACCTTTCCTCCACTGTTTGTAGGACTTTTCACTTTCTCTTCATCTAAACATGTGAGTGGTGACCCATCCTAGTTCACTGACCTTCACGCTTTGTTTTCTAGGTCCCGTTAAGTGAGTTTGAGTTTTCCTGGTCCAAAATTTCTGACATCCAGTCCCAGGTATGCTTTCTTCCGGCAGCCTCAGCTCGTCCCGGCATTGCCTCTGCATGTCCCTCGGCGGGCATTGCGTCCTGGGGACCTTAGCACTGGGAAGTGTGCACTGTGGTCAGTCTGCTTTCTCGCTGTGCAGGTTACCACACACCTGCTCTGCGTCGGCTCAGGCCAGGCCACACAGGAACTTTGTAATCATTCTTACTGTGGCATGATTTTGCAAATGTTGCAAAGCTTGGAACAAGTGTATGGGCACAAATGTTTTCTTACGGTGGTTTTTCTAATATATGTGAAATCTGCTGTTTTATTAAAACCAATGTTTCTTTCCATTTCAGCTTGAAAAATTGATTGAAAAGAACTACTTCCTTCATAAGTCAGCCCAGGAAGCGTATAAGTCGTACATTCGAGCATATGACTCCCATTCTCTGAAACAGATCTTTAACGTTAACAACTTAAATTTGCCTCACGTTGCTCTGTCATTTGGCTTCAAGGTGCCTCCTTTTGTTGATCTGAGTATCCTTTTCTTTGTTGTGATGAATTGGTGCAGGAATTACGGGACAAGAGCTGCTCGGGCATGTGGGCGTAGCACTGGGTAGGTGGGTGGGTGGGTGCTCTGGCTGGGAATGGAGGCGCCGTGCTCGGCCTGGTCACTGCATGTCAGGCAGGGATAGTGACGGGAGTGAGATTGACAGAAACATGGCAGTTGTGACTTGGGCCTTTAGAAAAGTCAAAGGAATTTCACTGGCAGAGCCCGAGGGAGCTGTGCAGTCTGGGGAGAAGCGGGGGATTGCAGGCTCGGCTGCTGTCCAGGTTCGGGTTAGCTGTGTGAGGTCTGGAGGTTAGGATGCCCTCAAGCCAAAGAGAGAAGACGGAACCTTTCAAAGAGCTTCTATCCTTAGAGCCATTAAAGGATTTCATACAAGGAAGTTGCAAGATCAGCAAAAGAAAGGAAAACTTAAGTGCTACTCAAGATAAAAGGCACAGGGGGTATCTCAGTTGCTTCTGTTGTAATTTATAATCACATTTTCATCAGAAGAAACAGCAGCTAAAGCAGGCCTGTTCATCAACGCTGGACCGTAGCTCCTAAAGGAGAAAGCCGGATTTGGGTTGCATCCCTGTGGGCGTTGCGTAAACGCCTGCATGTTGAATCTTTACTTGTTCAAGCATTCCTGAGTGAGCCCAGTGGAGGTGAAAGTCATTTGTTTTGACACAGGAAGTATATTTTGTGTTCCTATAAACTTGCTGATTTACCTCTGTATTTCTTACAGGTAATTGTCTTGAGTTCTATTGTGTGGAGAAAATAATGAATGACTAATCTACTGGACTTACACTGACTCCCCTAATTTTAGTCCACAGTCACAGGGCACTCCTGATGTCCTGCAGATGTGTTGTGTAGGCTCATGTCACACGTTTCCGTGGCTCAGGGAGGGTGAGGTGGAGGGCCAGCAGGGTGTGTGCTGCTTGGTCCCCGTGGCGTTGTGAGGTTGGAGTGCTCTCTCTGTGTTGCTTGATTTCCTTAACGTGCACCTGCAGATGTGAACAGCAATGACGGCAAGCTGAAGAAGAGAGGCGGCGGCGGTGGGTTCGGCTACCAGAAGCCCAAGAAAGTGGAGAAGTCCAAAATCTTCAAGCACATTAGCAAGAAGTCGTCCGACGGCAGGCAGTTCTCTCACTGAAGTTGTCCTTCCACCTTCGGGGCTCAGTCCTGAGAGGAGTGTTTTTTCTTGCTCTAACTTTTCCATCTCATCTGTCATTGTTTTAATTCTTTTTGTACCTTTTCTTCTGGTGTCTGAATATTTTGTGACATGAATTGCTATAGGACCTGCTGAAACGGGCAGGTCACCAGTACACTGGAGGCGGTTTGGGGTGACAGTGCAGGAAACTGGGTTTTTTGTTTTGTTGTTTCTTAGACCTTAACGGTAGTTCCTGATCCCTCCTGAAAGTGCTGCCATGTGAAAGGACAGAGCTTTTGGAAGTACCTAAGAAGCACCTTCAACTAAAGGTGGCAGGGTTTTTATATACGCCAGATTTTGAAACAGCCTTTCCCCGTTTTGTTTTAAGAGCAAGAAACGAGGTGTTGTGCTTTGAGTAAAATGCCCGTTTGGAGTTGGGGGAGAGCTGAGATTTCTGGCTCGTTTGCACCGATGCAGGTGTGGTGTCTGCTGCTCCATGTGATTAGCAAAGACCTTTTAAAACAAATGGTGACAGAGTGACGACACCCATTCAGCCTTGTTTCCGGTGGGGCTTGTTTGGGGTTTAGTGAGCTCTTCCAACTCGACTCCTTAGCAGGTAAAGCATCTTTTGGAGAAAAAAAATTGCTTTTTCCAGATCCATGAAATATGAGCAGGGGTCAGAGGGGGCAGGAGTTTAGTCACATGTGGTTTTCTGCTGTGGGACTCCTGATCTGTGTTTTATGTTTTATTTCTATGCTCTATAACTGCCAATGGTTATTCCAATTTAAAACCAAAGTTGCTGGCATCGCTTGCTGTTGTGCCTGTTGATATTGTAGACTCTTGTGAAATACAAGGACACTGAGAACGTCAGGTGGAGAGGAAACCGCTGGATGGAGAGCATTCAGAGGGACCGGGAGGAGTGGGATCCTGCGGCCGGCCTGACCGCTGTCCCATCGCGGGCCTCGCAGGCACAGCCCTGGACTGCTGGACTCCTGACATTTAACCACTGCTTCTCTATCCAGTAACTTGTTTTTCTTTTTTTCAGAAATAATCACGTTTCAAAAATATATACAAAGCAAAGGGAAGAATATTTAATCACTGAACATAAATAAAGACTGAATATTTTGTTATATATCCTTCCAGTGTTTTATATACATTAAATGTTTTTATCAAAAGTGAAATTCTCTACCCACTATTTGTGACCAGCTTATTTTATAACGTTATTTTCCCATGTCATTAAATAATTACATCAGTTTTGTGTTTCATTTATTAAGATGCTTTGTTAACCATCCTGGGTCTGCCAGGATTTGGGTTCTAGATACCTGTTTGTCCCAGTCTGGTTACCTTATCAGTGTGTCTGAGAGAAGATAGAAAGGTAGTTCTTACTGTAATAAAGATGGTTCCTGCTATAATAAAGTACCTGATTTCTGGTACTTCCTGAGAGTCCTGCATGAGGTTCTGCTGGCCGGGTGGTCCAGGTGGTCCAGGTGGGGCACCCAGGCCCTTTTCTCCTGGCCAGGATTCAGGCTGAGGGAGCCAGTGCTGGAATCAGATACGAGGTCCGGGCAACACCTGCAAGGCTTACCTGTGCGAGGAGGAGGCGCCTCGGGTGCCTGTGTTGAGACAGGTGTGTGGCTATTGAGAGGCGTTGGCCAGGAGCTTAGGCGGGAGCCAGCAGACCACATGCAAAGGAAACCTTTGGTCCTCCGGGCTGCAAACAGTAAGTCATCGCTATATCTAACTTATTTTCATCTTAACAGGCCAGGTTATTGTAAGTGCGGAATTCAAGGTACCCAGAAGAGGGTTATTTATTGAGCTCCATGTAGCACTTAAATGAACACAGTGGAACCAGAGTGACTGGATTCAAATTCCAGCTGTGCCTCCTCCTTTTCTGGGCCTGTTAAAGGAGTAAAACAGCAATAAACCAACTTCACAAGGTGGTGCCAATGAGTGAGCTAACAAAGTGCTCAGGGCAGGGCCCGGCACCAGGTGCCCACCTGTTAGCTGCCTGTTACTATGTACATCCCGCATGAGACGTTGGTTGCCCAGCAGTGTCAGGGACAGGGACCCATCCCAAGTCCTGAGCCAGAGTGGGCCTTCGGAGCACAGACAGGAGTTCTGACAGTCTGGGTGCCCCGGGACCCTGACGATCAGACCCAGGGTTCAGAGAGCGCTCCAGCCCCGCAGCACCTCCCTAAGGCAGCGACCACGTGGGTGAATGCAGTTCCCGGGGCTACTGTCACTGGGTGTCGTGGAGGGAACGACGCAGTGCGTGCGGGTAACCCCGAGTCCATGAGGGAAAGCCTGTTGGGAAGGGGCCAGGGGACACACTCCTGAGCCCCTCAGGAGCCTGGTTACAGTCTAGGGGGGCACAGGTGCCGAAACGATTGTGCAGTTTTCCAAGTGGGATAGGTGCAGATGCAGAGAAACAGTCCGGCTGTTGCTAAGCCTGGGGATTGATTGTTGGAAGGGACACTGCTCCTTCCCATTGGAATTCGGTGATTGGTTTTGTCCCAGGGAAATGGTTGATCTGGAGCAGGGCAGGGATGTGTCCAAGGAAGACCAAGGCAAGCCCCACCTTCCAGGAGAAGCCGGTCTGGGTCGGGGGGCGGGGGGGAGGCAGGAAGACGTGGGCCCTCGGCCTCACTCAGCCTCCAGAGGGGCGTCCGCGCGGAGAGGCAGGGCGGGCAGTCACCGGACCTTCCAGGGCAGCGGGTCCAGGCCTGGCGGGGCTGGTGGGAATCCTGCCTCCGCCACCACTGAGGCTTTGAGCAGTTGCTTCCCTCGCTGTGCCTCAGTTTCCTCATCTGTACAAAGGGAGCAAGTACTGGGATCTGCAGGATGACATGCACCGATGCCCTGGGAACACTTAGCACAGAATCGGGACGTCAGCTCTCAGAAATGACAGCTGCTGACGCTGTTACCTGAATGCAGGGGAGCGGGCGGGCGTCAGGAAAGAAGGAAAGGGCGCTTTCCAGGGCTTCCCTGTCTGGAGTCTGTCTCTGTGGTTCCTGAGTCTCCCAGCAGAGGGCGTGCGGCCAGGGGCGCCTCCACGTCGGCCCGGCGGGGCTGGGGGTGGGTGGGTGTTTTGCTGGCAGAGGAGGGCTCCAGGGGTCCTCGCCCTCCTGGACGAAAGGCCCGCGGAGGGCGAGAGCGGGGACCGAGGCTGCCAGGCCCGTCCTCAGAGCAGGCCCGGGGAGGCCACGGGGTTTCTGACCCGGAGACCAGGCTCACGCTCCCTGCTTTCCACGCTTGAACTTGGAGCCTCCCTCAGCCCGCGCCGGACGGTGGTGTCCTGGTGTTACGAAGAGGAGGGGAAGGCATCAGAGGGCCCGTGATCGCTCAGAGGCGGCCGGAGGCCTGGAGACCACGGTCCCGTCGGTGGGGCAGCTCCAGGGCTGGCGGCTCCCGCTTCCCCGGGAGGGGTGCTGTGTCCCAGGCGCAGGCCCCTGGGAACCTGACCCAAACCGGTGCTGGGTGCTGGGCGAGGGCAGAGGCAGGTGCGCAGTAAGCATGGCTGCCTGGCGGCTCTGATTGAGGGAAAGCAACACCCCATCTGAGCATGTACTAAGGGCAGGACGCGCCCTGGCGGTGGTGCAGTGGTTAGAGCCTCGGCCTGCGTACTGAAGGGGGGCGGGTTGGATTCCTCTGGGTTGTGGTTCATGCCCCACTCCCAGTCAGGGTGCGTGTGGGAGGCAACCAGTCAATGTGTCTCTCACATCCATGTTTCCTTCGCTCGCTCTCTCTTCCCCTCCCTCTCCCTCTCTCCCTTTCTCTCTCCCTCCCACTCTCTTTGAAAAGCAATGGGAAAATATCCTCTCGGGTGAGGATTAACAACAAAACAAAGAACAGGAGGCTCGGGGTGCAGGGGTGATTCCAACTCCATTCTAGAAGCTTAGTGTGAGGGGGAGATGAAACAAATGGGGGGACAGTGTGCTAAAAGGAGAGCATAACCATCTCCAAGGACTAAAGGATGAGGACCGCTTTGGGGAGGTGTGACGTCAGCGCTGAGCCTTGCAGGATGCCTTACCTGGAGCAACTGGGTGAAGAAGGGAGGAAACAAGGTGTTTAGGCACCCAGCGCAGCATGGGCAGAGGCGGGAGCAGCTGGGCAGAGGCGGGAGCAGCTGGGCAGAGGCGGAGCAGCTGGGCAGAGGCAGGAGCAGCTGGGCAGAGGCGGGAGCAGCTGGGCAGAGGCAGAGCAGCTGGGCAAAGGCGGGAGCAGCTGGGCAGAGGCGGGAGCAGCTGGGCAGAGGGAGAGCAGCTGGGCAGATAAATGGTTAAGCAAATGTAGTTTATATGTGTCAATGGAATGTTATCCAGCTATGAAAAGAAGTGACACTTTGCTACACGCGTGGCTCCCACCTGCGTCCAAGCACCCTTCACTCCCCATTTGCATCAGTGGACTTGCTACCCAACTAGTGTCCTTCCTCCAATTTGGTCCCAATGCTAACCCATCGGATAAACTGCTGGTAAGATAATACTCCCAAACGCTCAAACCCCGCGGGGGCAGGATGGTGGCACATGTCCTGGCACCTTCTCTCAAGCTCCCGCCATAACGTGCCAACGCCCCGGAGGGGAAAGGGCAAGTGCCATGGGACAGTCGGTCAAAGCTCATAAAACCACTGCACATGCGGTGAAACTGGGGTCACTGTTATTTTGTTTATTTGCTAATCCTCACCTGAGGCTGTTTTTCCACTGGTTTTTAGGGAGAATGGAAGAGAGAGGGAAAGACAGAGAGAAGCATCGATGTGAGAGAAACACGTCCATTGGTTGCCTCCTGCATGTGCCCTGACCAGGGCAGGGCTGGGGAGGAGCCTGCAACCAAGGTACATGCCCTTGACTGGAATCAAACCCGGGACTCTGATCCGCAGGCCAAAGCTCTGTCCTCTGACACAAACCAGCTAGGGCAGGTCGCTGTTCTTTACAGCAAAGTGAAAACTAGTGGGTTTTGTTAAAATAAGTAAAATCAGTCGGGTTTTCAATGATCGGCATCAAGTATTACTATGAAATCTCCACCCCACTGGCCCCAAAATTACTCAGGGTCACCTATACT